GCATTACCGCCACCTATCTCTCAAATGGACCATTGACACTCCTAATTGAGATTGTAGATAGAGTGTCAATGGTCCATTTGAGAGATAGGTGGCAGTAATGCACTTATAAGTCTGTGATCCACCGTAAAGCAAGAAGAAGAAGATGAAGACGTGTCACGCACCGGCTGTCGAGGACGCGCTCAGGACAGTTCAGACATTGCAGTGCATCAGAGGTAAAAAACTATATAAATAATGTTCAGTATCTTGCACAGACCGATCGTTTCGTGTCTTTGCACATCAATGTATCGTCACGAGCCGCAGGGTTTAATTTGGTTTTGTTTGTGTATGGTTTTTTTACTCTCAAAGCTGTGATTCCCATCCACTTCCATTATAACACTGACAGACTGCAGCGGTTTGAGTTAAAAACCTTCATTTGTGTTCTACTGAAGAAACAAAGTCAACAAAGTTTGCGAACCATCCCTTTAAATGCCTCATGCTCACAAGCAGACGATGATCTGTTTCAAACCCTAAAGAGCTGTTTGGCTGTATAATGTCTTCTAAAACCAGCTAAAGATGCGGATCAAGACCCTTTTAAATCCAGCCCACTGAATCAGCTATGACCAGACTGGAAGACTAGCTTAGCTTGGGCTGGTTTTAGCTGTTTTTGTTTGTTTTTGTTTTTTTTCAGCAGTGTCACTGCCAAACCCCAAAAACATATTTCTAATTGCTCACTTGCTTTAGAAATACGCTAAAAACAAGTGAAAAAAATCTGCCAGCTAGTGCAAAAACGCACTTACATATATTTAAGTTACAATTCATGAAAACAACTAAATACACAATATTAGCATAACATGCTAACACCATTTCCATACAGTAATTTCACTGCAAAAATCATTTTCTTTTTTAGTATTTTCTTTTTTTATTTATTTCCCATTACAATTACACATTTAAAGAGGCATTAAATCAAGATACACTTGATTTTTTTCTCATTTACTTGAGGAAAAAAGACGTCTTGTTTTCAGAAAAATGCATCAAAATGAATTAAAACAAGAAAAAAAAATAATTTAAATTGAAGATTTTTTTTTTTACTTACCAACAGACATTTTTTTCTTGTTTTAAGCATAAACTCACTTAATTTTGATAAGACAGTTTGCTTCTCAAGTAAATATAGTGACGTGTGAATGTATTTTCTTGAATTGAAATATAAAATATTTATTTTTAAATGCTTTTAAAATGCTTTTAAAAAATATATTTATATTTTGAAAATGCATTTTCAAAAATACACAACAAATCGCCAAAAATATATTGGTAGAAATATACATTTACAGAAAAAAAATATATATTTTAGTAAATCTATTTTTGGTCAGTTTTTGTATATTTTGAATATATATAAAAAAAAAAGGCTTCACTAATCAGTTCACTAGTTTTTGTAACATAAACTGCAAAGAATTTTCAGTAAAACTTTACTTAAAGCCTTTATAAAGGGTTATTAAAGAGTATAATGCATTATAATTATTCATAATGTGCATTTTAATACATTATATCTTGTCATAAATAATTATAACCAAATTTAAAATGCATAGTGTAACAATGAATTGATAAGTGTTATAATGTATTAACTGTGATTACAATTATTCATGAGATTGTACAATGCATTATAAGGTGCATTACAAGGCATAATTAATGCATTAAAACTACTTTTATAATGCATTATACATAAAGGCTTTTTCTTTAGACAGATATTTTTGGTTTTAAACAAACTCACTTAATTATTATTTTTTTCTTCTGAAAACAAGACTTAAACTCTTAGGCCATTTTGCTTCTCAAGTAAATAGATTTTGATTTAATAATGTTTATTTGGCACTGGAAATCAAGACAAAGGTTGACTGTAAGAAAATCATTTTTTGCAGTGTAGTCAGTCTAGTTAGGATTCTGTTGATAATTTGAGAATGAAACCCATGTGCCCTTTTGGGTGATTTATTGGGAAGTTGATCAACACAACATATTGGACTTTTATATCAAACATCTGTTGTACCTTTTTTCCTGGCCTGTGCGATGACATCAGCAGCGCTCTTGCTCATCACTTTGGTGATGTAGAGCGGGCAGTTGGTCTGATTGGCGATGGTCACAGCCCGGTTGACGGCCTCGGCCTCCACCTATAAAACAACAGCCAACACTCACTGACCTTCAGCTGAAATTACAGACGCAGCAGCTGTAAAGTGCTGCTCAGCACCTCCTGCACTTTATGTGCGGCTAAAGGTTTCTGGAAGGCTGATGTGTCTGCGATACCAATGATCAATGAGTCTGGCAGCAAAAACAGTGGGAAAGTGGAAAGTCTGAAATCCCCTGATCCCTACAGGGAAATAAACCATAAATGTGTTTCAGTGCAGCATGTCTGAAGGGTATTTTGGAAGCGTTCTTGGGTCTCGATGTATGATGACGTGCTAAAACCCCTTCCATGTGGTGCACAGCTGTAATTTCGCAGTGTGAATGTGGTGTGATGGTGTATTTGGTGTAGTTTGATGTGCACGTGAAGTGTTTTACCTCCTCTGGGCGGCTCAGAACATGTCCTTCTGGACCAGTGATACCCAATCCCAGAATCCTCTTCTGCTCCTGTAAACAGAAGAAAGTAAGAGAGGTTTTTATGGATTTCACTGCAAAAAAAAAAAAGAATATATATTTTTAAGATTTTTTTGCATTTTCATTATTTCACAGTTAAAGGGGTGGTTGATTGCGATTTCACTTTTTTAACGCGAGTTTGTGTGTAATGTTGCTGTTTGAGCATAAACAATATCTGCAAAGTTACGAAGCTGAAAGTTCAATGC